CAAGCTAACAGCCTGATGGCGACTCTTGTACGCAGTCTTAATGTTTGATTGGGAAGGTACAACCTCTGCCTCTATCCCTCAACATATGGGTGACCTATTTGCTTGTAAAAATATAAAGCCTTATCATTAATTAATAAAAAAAGGGGGGAGATGTAGGGAGCCGTCCCTGCATTCTCCATTACAATGATGGCGCCTGCAGGCACTGAATGTAAACAAGATTATTGCACAGGCGCTGGGTAATTTTCCATTCCTTGATCTCTGCCTATTCCGTGGCGTCATATGGCCTGATGAGCTGCAGCCAATCATAGGGTGACATGTCCCAGGCGGCAGCTGCCAGCCTTTATTAGGGGACGGGATTCTTGGCTCGGGGTCTCCGCTCTGGTAAGCTTATGCTCTCCTCTCAAGACGCATTAAAAGCTTTACTGCAGAAGGATCCGAATGTCCTGTGTGGTTCTTGCTGGCGAGGCGATTGCGCGAGACAGAAACCCTGTCAGGAAAAACCAAAAAAAAAAAGAAAGAAAGAAAGAAATAGGTAACTGTGGTATGGAAGGGAAGGAAGAAGAGTCCTTAAGGTGAACTAGGATTGGTTGGTGGTGAGTAGCAACCACTGGAGTGGAAATATCCCATACTTGGGGATCCACTGGATAAGGGGGGGGTAGGGACAGGACAGTCTGGGGTAGTGTCTTGAGCCCTTACCAGGTTTTGACCTGGGAGGAATGGCAAACTCAGTGAACTGGTTTTGAGCATAAAAGTTTTACTTCACACTTAATGTCAAAGTAACACACAAGCATAAGCAAACAATCCATAGACAATAGGCTCACAGCAGGGGGTACCTGTCCTGCAGCAGCCTGCAAGTTCTGTTCCTCTGGATTCAGGCTGAGGGCCTGGTGTTGTGGAATCAGGTTCAGCACGGGCAGCACTCAGCTTGATGGACTGGTGGTTTCAGGTTAGCGGAGGAGAGTCCAGGACATAGAGTCGTGGTACAATCTAAAGTTCCCAGTTCTGAGCTGGTCCTTAAATCGTTTGCTAAATCTTGCTAATCACACTTGTCCACACTCCACACATTCTCGCTTTTATCTACAATGGCTGGGTAGTGGGCCTATACTCCCTTTCTTTTAATCTCCCTGAACCAGGCCTTTGCCTGCTTGGTTATAAATAAGCTCCTTACAGGTAGGAACCTGTGAGGCTATTAAGGGAAGAAAGTTGAAGTCAGGAGAGTGTTGGGGCCAAGGTGAGAATATCACAACCAAGTAGAGGTGCCAGGCAAGCAGGTATGACTCGGAAAGAGTGAAAGAAGAATTTCCCTTCAAGAATGCAGGGAAATAGCAGGGTCTTTAGTGGGAAGGAAAGGGTCTTGTCTACCCCCATGACAAAAATTGGTGAGGGAACTGTAATATCTGAGTGAGATATCAAAACAGAGTAGGTAGCTCCAGTGTCCAAAAGAAAAGTGATGGACTTACCCAATACCTGCAGCGTTACCCTTGGCTCAGAGAGGGCAATGAGAGTCACCAAGTCTGTGTCGCGTTATTCTCCGCCAGGCTGAGGATAACATTCCAGACTCTGGGTATATGAATGCCAGGGGCAAGGGTGAAGCTTCCACCTTGCTATCCACCTCTCCCTGTTAGATACAATTGAAGCTTTATTGATTCCAGTGGTATCCATAGCTTTTCTTTTCCTGTGGAAACAAAAGCAAAATACCCTCTCCAATGTACCACATACCCTGTTTTCCATTCTGTGGTCGACACATCTTTAAAGTATATAGGCTGAACCCTGTCCCAAGCATTTAAGGCTGCTGTATGGCATAGGGACAAGGTGTGATCATCAAATGTAACTTGACTATACACATCAGCATAAGGACCCTCACCAAAAATTTTATCTTGGGAAATCTCATAACCTATAACCCTACCTTGCTGTTCTAGGGCTTTAGCTTCTCTCAACCAATTGTTCCATTCCAACTGAGAACCACATTCTAATACTAATTCTACATTCTAATTCTAATACCACATTCTAATACTGCTCTAGTGAAAGATTTCCAGTCATGTGGAGTAATTTTGTTGTGAGTGGACCATCTATCCAACATCTGCCTCATGTAAGGTGAATGCATACCATAGGAAACTATTGCTTCCTTAAATCTCCTTAATACTGATTTTTTTTTTATTTTAGCCATTCTGACAAAAACTGAAAATTTTATAGGATGCCATTTTACTTTTGTAGAGCCTTGGGGATGCCTGTCATCTGGTGGGCTTTCTTGGGTGTTAACTGGATAACTAAAGGTTGATTCTCCCCTGAATTCTTTTGTCTGTATCTGAATGCTTTTATTATTCAGTTTTAATTATTTATTTAATTATTATTTAATTATTATCAGTTTTAATATTTTTTCTAAGGTTTGTAATTTATCGATAGTGGCTTTTTCTAAGGCTTGTGTTTTGAGCAGTAATCTGCTCTAAGGTTTGCATCTTATCCATCACCCTTCTACAATCTTCATCAGTAAGTATTTCTAAAGCCTTTATCTTGTCAGTCAATACAGTAAGTACTATTCTCCTTAGTAACTACTTGTAAGGCTTTGATACTATCAGTGGTACCTTTTTCTAAGGCCTTTATCTTTTCAGTCAAGATTGTATTACTCTCCTTAGTAACCATTTGTAAGGCTTTCATATTACTAGTCAACTTCTTGTTCTCTTTGTTGGTAAATATTTCTAAAGCCTTTATCTTGTCAGTCTGAAAGACCCTCAGATTGAGGGATCTCCAACCTTACGGTCCCCCAAGAACTCAATATCCAGTCCAATTAATGAACATGCAAGAAGCTTTAATGAATGGTGAACGTTTGTACAAACGGGCCCCCTCAGCACGCAGGCTAGAGAGAAGCCCTGATCTCCAGGCACAGGCGTTTTTAAAGGCAAAGACCACAAGCTTAGGGAGGGGCCACAACCCTCTGACCATTAAGTAGGTGACCAGAGTCATGGGTTCCTAGGAGGCCCTTTGTCTTGAGGGGAGGGCTGGGAATCAGATGGCCTCCTGACCTACCGGTTGTAAAACCCTCAGACCTCAGGATGTGCTAATCAATCTTGTCCAAGTAAATGGCAGTTGCTGACCCTTCACAAGGATCCTGCTTATCAGCTTCTGACGCAGTGGTCAGTGGGGTAATCTGTCAGGGGTTTCTCCATGAACTACCCGGGAGGTTTGTGGTCATCTGAAACATTTGGAATTTAACCATTTATAGCCCTCTAAGAGTGGAGTTGCTGAACTACATACCGGCCTAATTTCGCTTCTTCTGTTAATTTTTAGTCTTTTAAGTCAATACAGTACTATTCTCCTTAATAGCTATTTGTAAGGCTTGTATATTACCGGTCACTTTCTTTTCTCTTCATTGGTAAATATTTCTAAAGCATTTATCTTGTCAGTCAATAGAGTACTATTCTCCTTAAGGGTTGCATACCATCAATAGTAGCTTTTTCTAAGGCCTGTGTCTTTTCAGTCAATCTCTCATATTTGGCAGCATTATCAAACCACTTTATTAAGGATAAGATATGAACTGAAATTATGACTGAAACTGCATCGATCCCAGTTAAGTTGTTTATCTCCTCAGTTAGTTTTTCTATCACTCCACCCATATTAGCAGTAAGCAGGGTTCTAATTCCCTGAATTTCCAATCATTGACCTGGGAAAGGTTTTAAGATTGTCCTCTTCCCTTATTATTATTATTTTCTTTAATAGCTTAGTTTACCGTTTAAACGTTCTCAAGCGATTCACCAGAGTTTCGATCCTCAGAGAATTGGGTCGTGTAGATTTAGTGACAACGTTTGGCCAGCAGGTGGAGCAGGTGTGACACCAAGGTAGCTCAGGAGCAGGGCAACTGCATTAGTGCTCACAGCGGCTGTACCAAACTCTGCCCCAGTGCTTCTCCAAAGCAAAATCTGTAATAGGGGTTGGGGGGTCGGGGGTGGGTAGTAATCCTCGGTGCTGAGCCCAGACCGGGAAACAGGCAGGCACGAAGAGCTGCGGGATGCGGGGAGGACACATCAGGGAACTCCTGGGTGCTGGGAGTGGGGGCGGGGAGCTCTGGGGTCTTCCTGGGACGCAGGGCTCGCGCACGCTCGCGGAGCGCCAGGGTGGCGGCGGCGAGCTCCGGAGCAGAGGGAGGGTCTGGAGCCCGAGGAGTGCCTGGGAGGCGGCAAGGGCGGACAGGGAGCTCCGGAGCAGAGGGCCGAGTGCCGCAAGCGTGAGGGTGCCTGGTACCTTGTAGCGGTGAGCTCCGGCCGTGGGGCTAGCGGTTGGGCGCAGGCAGCCTATTCAGTTGGGCGCCAGATGATGAAGGAAGACAAAGGATTACTTTACCGTTTGTTATCAGGCCAAATCCGCGCAAAGTAATCACAACAAAGAATGAGGAATCCGAAACGGATCGCCAGCTGCACCGCCAAAGCTTCCACTCCCTTTCCTTGTTCCAGAAAGGCCCGCCGGCGCCTGGGCTCCATCTAATCTTTTGGGTCACAATCAAAATTCTGCCTTTTGAACCAAAACGCTCCTTTCCATTGGCTCGATAAAGCATTCCCCTGACCCTCCCCCTCTAGAGAACTAGAATTACAGGTGTGTAACCACAGCTAGCTCTTACACATGCTTAATACTTCACTAGGCATGTGTGTGTGTGTGTGTGTGTGTGTGTGTGTGTGTGAGAGAGAGAGGAGAGAGAGAGAGAGAGAGAGAGAGAGAGAGAGAGAGAGAGAGAGATGCCATAAAGTACCTGCTTAAATTATTCTGAATTCTTTAATATTAACAAGATAATTATTTTTTAAAAACTCATATTGCTGATGTTTTTCCCAATCCTGCAGTTCCAGATAATAAAGAAGAGAATGAGCTCCACCCAGAGAAAGCTCCTGGAGTGTGCAAATGTATCTTGCACATTTTTAGAAATGGCGCCTCAGAAGGCACATGAATTTTAAATATAGATAGATGTTGCCAAACTGTCCCCTTAGGGAGCTGTGCTTCTCGAGGTGTGTGGAAAGAGCATGACTGAATAAGACTGTAACTAACTTAAACTTTATTCCCTGCCACATCTATGAAGAAAAAAAAGTCGATATGTAAAAACCGGTAGTGGAAAAGGAGAAGGCTAAAGCCGGAGACTCTGGTTTGCTGGAATATTGCTCTCCCCTTAAAATCTGTAATTTGGCACCTACAAGCCAGTAGGGATACGGTCAAAGTGAGTAAGGCTACAGGGAGTGGTCTGATTAGGGTATGACCAAGTGACAGCCTTCTGTGTATTGCTGAAAGTGCCCAATAGACGGAATTGTAGTGCTCGATGGCTTCAGAGTATGTATAGTGCCTTCAGAATAATTTTTATTTGTTTAGTGTATAAGTAAAATAAGATTAACAATAGCAGTAAGGCAACCAAGCTGTGATGGCCGAGTGGTTAAGGCGTTGGACTCGAAATCCAATGGGTTATTCCCGCGCAGGTTCAAATCCTGCTCACAGCGTATGTGATCTGTGCCACTACCACTATCGCTTTTAAGTTAAGCACTTCGCCACTGTGTCAAATTCTAACATGTGGACATCTAAATGCCGGGTGTTTTCTTGTTGCTTTTAAATTGGAAGAAAACTGCCTGCGCACACATTAGAAATGCCAGTGGTATTGGGAGTAGTGTCACATCCCTGTAATCCCAGCACTCAGGAGGCAGAGGCTAAGGGATTTCTGAAATCCAGGCCAGCCTGGTCTACAGGAGCTAGTTCCGGGACAACCGTCAGTTGTTTTCTTTCTGTGTATAGAAAAAGGAAATACCGATAGTTACTCTAACAGTTCTTTGGTATTTAAAAAGAAGAAACAAAGTAAAGACAAAGACAAAAAAGCTGTTAGGAACCAAAATGGACTAGAATTAACAGAGCACATTTAATCTGCCAAGCATGTGGAAATGAGTTGAAGAAAGGGACAATGCACAGAGAGGCTTGGACGCTATTTACTAGCAGGCTGACCCCAAGCTGCAACAGGAAAGTTAAAACCTAAGTTTACTCCTTCTTACAAGTATGCTTGTAAGTGTTTTCTCTCACATTGAACACTTAAATCATATTCAGCCAAACTTTCTTTTATATTTTTAACATAGCTCCCTGGATAAAAGAGAAATGCTGGCATTTAAAGGTCTGTGTTACCACGTCTGGATCAGCTTAATTTTCCATTGAACTCTAAATTCTAAATTGCTGACGAGATTGTAAAATTTGCCGCTAAAATAATCAACGTTGTGAAACACACCTGTAACACTAGAACTCCCGGAGCTTCAGGCAGGAGAACTGCCAGTTTGAGGCCAGAATGACACTGTTTCAAAACATCTAAAAGTAAAATGAGGGGAGGAGGAAGATGAGGAAAGAGAGAATTTGGTTTCATCACTTTTTCATTCAACCAGCCGGGCTGCAGGAAGCGGTTGTTTAACGTCAGAGGGAACCAACTGCCTAAATTAATGGAAACCAAGAGGCACAAAAATGGAAAAATGAACCTCTATAACGCAAGTGGCAGAAAATTCCTTTATAAATGTAAAACATTTTAAAGGTTGTAAATTATGCAAATCAAACATTTGTTGAGTTTACATTTGAGGGTGGGTCTGCCATAAATCTTGCAGTTAATAATAAACAGTGGAAGAGCCACTTTCATGGCGGGCCAGTGGCGCAATGGATAACGCGTCTGACTACGGATCAGAAGATTCTAGGTTCGACTCCTGGCTGGCTCGACCTGTATTTTTTTCTTTTTTTTTTTTCCTGGTCAAATCCGTAACAGAAATAGATTAAGTCTTGAAGATCCCTGATCTGGTTCACATTACATTGTTGTCTTTCTCTACACTACCCAACCACATGATATTTCTAAAAACAGAAAGGACTGTAGCTCCGAAACATCAGGAAAGTGGAAAGCACCCTGTTGAGAAAAAAACAAAACAAACAAAAAAACAACCTACAACAAAAGTCATATAATGCAGGTTATTGAAATGAAATGTACAGGGCACCAAATCTAGAGATAGAATGTATCACCGGTTGCCAGGAGCTGAAGTCAGGTAACAATGACTATTATAACTCAGTACACGAGTAATCACTGAATCGGATCCTTTAAAAGGCTGAACTTTATTACGCATGAATTATAACTTGTTTTTTGAAAATTACAGTAGCAGGGGAAAAAACTAAAAATTGACCAATATTTTATTGGTTCATCCCACTCACCCCTGCCCCCTCCCCGCCCCGAGCTGGGGATCCATCCCTGACTAAGCTTCCCGGTTCCCTGATAATCACCCGGAAAGGTGAGAGAATCAAGAAAGCGTTCTGAGAAACTGTTCATATTTCAAAGCGATCCCAGACAAAACCCAGGTAAAATTAAGAGTCAGGGGGTATAGGAAGACCCAGAAGTGAAGCTTTGGGGCAGTGTATGGGTAGGTGGATCTGCCTTCTAAAATTTTCCTGGACTTGAGACTTGAAACATGGAACAGGGAGGAGGTGCTTGAAAAGGACCTGAAGGCGAAACCCTGAAAAGAACACATATTAAATTAAATTAAAATTTAATTGAGGTATTCATCATATTCTCCTTCCAAAAGCTTATACATATCGCATGGTTTAAGTTTCAACTCGTGCCCAGAGTGTGTCTAATCCACGCTCAATTGAGATAGACGGCGTGAAATGAGAGAGTTTGGAGGGCCTCTGATTTTCTCGTGTTAGAAAACCACCGCTGGCCCACAGACTCCACGGGGAGTGCATTTTCTGCGTCGCGTCGCGTCGCTACATGTAGCCACTCTGGTCTCCCTCAAGGCACTTTGGATATTTCGTGGTGATTCTGTCATCGCCTCCCACTGCGCGTCAATTTTCTTCAGGCTAAAATACCTGTCAATCCAACATTACCAGATTGACTGAACACGAAGCTGGTCACACAGTTTCCCTGTGCTTCATTATCCAATGCTTGTACAAGCAGGGCTGTGTTGAAACCCAGAGAGTGCCCCCCGACTTAAGAGTAGAGATAACTGAGAGATGCATAATTTCCATTTCTTGAACCATACATAAACTGAGGTCTTCTAGTTACCAAAATGGTCTGAAATCTAAGGAAAGGCATCCAGGAAGAAATGGGACCTGAGCATGTTAACGTGTGGCTTCACCCACACTCAATAAAGTTGAGCTCTTCAGGCAAGAGGGTGAGACAGCTTCCCAAGGAGCTACAACTCTATTTTATAACGAATTTCTGAATCTAAGTGTGGAGAGAAAAGAAATGATAAAGTTCATAGTATTACCTATTCAGAGAAGTTTTCACATGCTTGCTGAAAATAGAAGAAAAACCTATCTGACATGGGTTAGCACGACTCTCAGAAACATGATGAATTAGGTCCTCTATGAAAGACAGACAGCATGTTCTACAATTAGAAGAGGGGGGTTGCAAAGCATGTGTCTGATCAGTGAGATATGTGGAGAATAAATAAGGAAGCTCAGTGATGACAATGCCACAAGTGCTGGGCACGGTGATACTAGCCTGTAATTCCAGCATTTGAGAGCCAAGTCAAAAGGATCTGGAGCTCAAGACCATCCTAGGTCCTATCTCAAAAAATAAAATGAGTAAATATTTTAGTACACACAAAAGTAGACATACGACAGACAGTGGTGGCACACGCCTTTAATCCCAGCACTCTGAGAGTTCCAGGCCAGCCTGATCTACATCGTGAGCTCCAGGACAGGTTCCAAAGCCTGTACATACTAAACAAGCACAAGAAAAGATGCTTAAATCTTTAGGGAGATACAAATTAAAGCCGCTAGGATTCCTGAATATTTACTATTTATGATAGTTAAAAATAGCAACTGTTGATGAGGATGTGGAGGAATGCAAACACTTACAGTTGGAATGTGGCTTTCAGAAACAACTAAGCAGTTTCTCCTTAAACTTGTAAAGCAAAGGTGATAACAGGACATTAAGAACCTACACCGCCAGGGAGAAGGATAGGAACAGATCCTAAAATCAACAGGAGACAAATAGCAACTGCTACACCCACCCTGTGAAGATTCCTAGAGTGAGAGATTAAATAATTCATAAGGTACAGTTGATGATAAAAGTTAGATATTTTAGAAAATATTGAGAGCCACAAAAATATATACCCCTCTGTTGTTTTGGTTACAGAAGAAAGAACTAAGATGTATGGAGGGGGGAGACAGAGCATTGGTGGTAGAGCTTTTGTCTACCATGCACAAGGCCCAATGTTTGGCCGCCAGCACAATAAACAAAAATGATTATGTAAGCTCACACAGAATAGAAGGGGCAAGCGCAGTTCTCCCTAACAACAACATTAATGCAGAAAATTCACCTTTTTTTGGGGGGGGGTGGATTTCTAGAGCTTGCCAGGTTCACAAGTATACCTTCCACTGTGAATAATGAATGTATCATTCAGATCATTGGTCCATTCATCTCAGGGTTCTGCCTCTGAACTCCCAGGCATTCAGTGCCCATGAGCAAAGAGAAGGCTTGAGAGCCTCTGGCCTGTGTGTATTGAATGAAATCCAGGCCCCTCAGTGCTGGGATCTGAGCTGATTAGGACTGATATATAGAGAAGGACAACATCAAAAATGAGTTCGACCTACCCTGATATACAGAAGAGAGTTTTGAAGCATATTTTTCTCCTATTATGGTTCTTGCACTGTACTGTAGAATC